AATATGAAGAAAAGCTCTTCGGTTCGTGCCTATGTTCTGAACATGATGGAGCATTTTCATGAGGCAAAGATCAACAAAGCGGCCATTGATGAAGCTACCCACGTTGGTATAATCCTGGAAGCCTTTCTCCATAGTTCTAGCAGTTTAAGAACAATTATCTCATGAACAAAATGAAATCGAACTTGACGGAGATGCTAAATGAGCTGTAAAACCTTGAGTCTACCAACAATAATGGACAAACCGGAGAAGTAAATGTTACTATTGCATAGAGTTCTTCCAAGAATAAGAGGAAGATACAGAGGTCCCAGGAGAAGGAAAAGCCTAAGGGTAAGAACAAGAAGGCAAAGAAGAACGACAAAGGCTCTGACCAAAAACCGAAGGAAAAATGTTTCCACTGCAATAAAAAAGGTCATTGAAAGAGAACTTGTAAAAAGTATCTCATGAAGCTAAAGAAGAAAATGGAGCAAGGTAAATATGATTGACTAGTTATGGAAACATGTTTAGTAGAGGATGGTACCTTAACCTGGATAATTGATTTATGAGCGACTAATCATGTATGTCTATTTTTACAGAGTCTTAACTCTTACCGGGAACCTGAAGTGTCCATTTGATATAGTCACTACATATAGATCAATCCTCTATAAATAATTCATAATTAGAGCTATGTAAAATCCGTTAACCTCTCTAGTTACATCTTTATCCTTGAGTACCATTGATTCTCTAATGAATAGTATATTCACAAAATAGTTTCATGAATACGAGCCCGTACTAATTCAAGTATCGAATCAACCTTCAAGGGAATTATTTATCTGCTTCTTTATTAAAAAATGAATGGATTCCATCTCGTAAATTAGCATTTCCGGCTACCCAGTTCATAATGTCTCCATGATACAAGGAATATGATTTAGCAATCTCAAAATCCGTACTGAGTAAGTAAAAAAACATAAATCCATAAATAGAAGTTTGCTAATAACTCTGGATTGAGATCGTTCTATATCTGACCATCGGTAGACTCAATTTGAATTTCCATACTTAACATAAATGATCAGAAATTCAAATTGTGTTTGTGTCCTAATTCCACATAATCACATTATGTATAATACACTCATTCAATATCTCTCTATATTAATAGTGCACATAACACTATTCCATTCTTAATGGGAATGACATGTACTAGTAATGTTTTAATTAAAGATTCTGAAACTTTAATTAAATTCATTACGAACATGTTTCGATTATTATCCTTAAATATTATCCTCTCATAGATAACTCTTATATACAATATTTAAGGTCACATAAATAATAACAGAATTTTCAATGATATTTATAAAATATTAAATAATATAAGCGCATAAATACTGACATTTCTCTATAATTAAATAAATAATAAATATCTTTTTAAATCTTATGCTTTAAGGACATCATTCTTAACACCAGGGCCGGGCCTCATCTATGAAGTCCGTAGCATGGGCACGACACTGCCTCGTACATGGCCCAGGCCTATGAAGAAATTAGGTCAGTATAATTTAATTATCCTTGTACTTTATACTTCACTATTTTTTCCTTCACGATAGCCAATTTCTTGTAATGATTCATATTATTTAATAAAATCACATCTTTTTGGGTATATGATATTACTTCTTTGTTTCTTTCTGTGTCATTAAATATGAAAATATAAAATAATAATAGAAAATTAAATTTTAAAATGGGTCAGCCTTGCTGAGCCGGTCTACTAAAGGCCCTAAAGAGTCGGCCCATATGAAGGCCCTATAGGACGGACCTGGTAGCTGGCCCTGGCCTTAAAGTACAGGGGCCGGGGCCAAAGCTAGGCCTGAGAGTCTCTCCTCATGCCTGGCCCTGGCCCAGGCCCAGGCCCGACTCTGTACTATAGAGGGTCGTGCTAGACACAACCCAAGTCCGTCTTGGGCCGACACGACCCTTTTGACACCTCTCGAATAGTGTCTAGTGGCCCTTGGGAATATCCATTTTGAGAATGGACATGTTAAAGTTCATTATTTTCACAAATAACTTAATCTCACAATGTTAAAGTTCATTATTTTTCTTATCACTTTTATGTCTCGAAATTGATTTAAACTAATCAATTAAAAGGGTGAAAGAGTTTTCATTCCCTGAAAATAGTTAAGAATACGAGTTACGACACATGGTATGACACAAGCACAACAACATAATTGACATGAAATTGACTCTATTTATCAAATTTTTTATTTAAAATATATACATATATGGACATATATTTTTTAACAAAAATCTTTTAACAGATTTAATTTGGATAACATGAAAAATATAAGATTTGTAACCTATATTAACAACGTAAAATATATATAAGTAAACTAAGTAAATAAATTAACACTTAAATTGTTTATATTGACTGTAATAGAATCTGAGTGACATTTTCATTAAATGGGTGACATATGGGTTGTCAACTCGAACTTGACATGAGGATTTGGATTGACATGAACAAGATCTAAATCACCACCCCTCTTAAAATGCACAGTGAAAAGAGAGAGAAAGACAATGGAATATCAAGTAAGCACAAACATATCCAATGATGATTTGATTTTTACACCTTATTGTGTGTTGTATAAACACACATTTCTTAGTTTTCTTAATCAAATACTTCACATTTGCCGTAGACTTTGTAAGGTTTAAGCAGCTTGCACTTAAACTTTTAATTTTAGCAATTCATCTCCCAATTTATAAAACTGTTGCAATGGAGAGTTAGAAATTAAGAGATTTATATCACAGTTTAAATTGGGATGTTGGAAGTTTTCATCAAACATGCTTTTTCGACATTAATGTAATATAAGCATCATTAGAATGATACACATTACAACTGCTTTATAATTTTTGTAAACTAACATAAAAATGGATGTTTGGTTTGAGGATTTAAACCATGATTTGAATCACGGTTCATGGTTCGCTATAGTGTTTTCTCTCAAAAAAATACACGTAAATCGAAAATGATTCTAATTCATGAACTAAAAGTCAAATACAAGTTAGGGAAAATTTCCAAGCCAATACAAGTTTAGAAGTAAAATGTCTAAAATAACCTTCTTAATCCAATATGTTTTCCAGCATGCCATGTCATTTACTCAAAAAGTTAGTGTAAAATTAGGAAAACCTTTCGTGTTCCATGGAGATTTATCCCTGTGGGGACACATAGGAGTGCTTGTAAAATTAAGGATTAAAGGGGGTTTTGCTGTCTATCTTCAATAAAATAATGTTTTCGGCTATCCGTATATTTCAGTGAGTGATAGTTTGATCCTGAATTGTTTGTCAATTAGGCCTCGTTCACTTTGTGGATTCGAATTTTCAATTTGAGCTAAGATGTGACATTTTGTGAGAACTTTTTACTGTAACAGAAAAAGTTAGATGTGACATTTTCTGAGAATTTTTTACTGTAAAAATTTATAACTGAAAACTCGAATCGGTGAAATGAACGAGGCCTTAATTTCTAAACTTTATCAATAGTTTAGTCTCTTTATAATTTACAATACATTTTTAGAAGTTAATAGATACAGTTGCATGTCCATCATAAAAAAATTGAATTTTACAAAAATAATCACTCTAACTTTTATGCATTTAAATGAGCATTGTAAATAAAGTTTTGCCTTTTCTGTGATCTTCTTTTTTATTTTATTTTTTGTGTGTAAATTTTTTAATTGTTATGCCATGAATATATAATTATTTTTAGAGAAATACAAATGTTCCGAACTTTCTTTATACTTGATAACGAATAATTTCATCCGTTAGACAAGAATTAAATGCTCACGATAATATTATCCCATAAAGACAAACATACATTTGATGCACCAAATCAAATTCATTAAACCAAAAAAAAAAAAAAAAACTAAAAATCAAAGAAACATGAGAAAATTATTTCATCTGTCGGCTAAGAACGTCGACGACGACCCTAAATTTGAAAAGCTTTATATCTCAATAAGCTCCAGGGCAATGGTCTTACCCACTCACGGGTCGTTTCGTCGCAACTGTAGCTAAAGGAAAACGAAAGGTCATGGCTGTTGAGAACAAAAGGAGAAGTTGTGATTCCAAAGGTCGTGGCTGTCACCGTCAGTGGGGAGAACGAAGCTCGCACGTAGAAATTGTCGAAGGAGAAGGCGATCGCTCAGTAGAGGCGGAGGAGGAGATCATGTTGTTGTTGATTGGGGGAAAGGTTGCGAGCAGATCGCATGCCATTGCTGTCATGAGAAATCGTCACCCCTTGTCTTGACTTTTTGAAATCTCTGACGAAACCGCTTACGGCCTAAGGGACCATCGCGATTTGAGGTCATTGGTGGGAAACCCCACCGCCATTCCCCGTGATATGAGCATTTGCATAAAATCATGATTTAGGACCATCGATTATTAATCTGACGGTTTAAAAATAGTGTGATATTTATATTGAATCTGTACACTTCGGTACTACAATCATCCTTTATTTTTATTAAATTTTAAAACTTAAACGTTAATTTTACATTAACGACTAAACTTCTAAAAGAATAATTAACAACAATAAGCTAGGGATTACCAAAATAATCATTGAAAACTCTAAGGACTTGTTTAGTAACGTTTTCAAAATGATTCTGCTTTCAATACAAAAGAAGAGATTTTTTTAAAAATAATTCTGAGACTGATTTTAAAATTATATTTAGTTAATTTTTTAAAAGATTATTTTGAATAACGATTTTCTAATTTCTTCATAAAAATTATTTTTATTATTTATTATTTTTATTTTATTTTAAAAATATTTATTAAATAAACACAATTTATCAAAAATTTTCATTTTTATGTCTTAAAAGACGTACAAAAATATTTTTAAAAATAAATGAAAATTAATTTTATACGGTGCCCTAAAATTAAAAAAAAAAAGAGTAAAGAGGAAAAAAAGAAAATTATAAAGAAAATCAATAATGAAGGCACTACATGCGCAATTTGTCTGTGTGCCAGCTCGATTCCATCATCATTCATTTCTCTCTCTCTCTCTCTCTCTCTCTCTCTCTCTCCAGTCTCCATTAATATTTTCAGACCACAACTGGTTCTTTCTTTCATTACCCGTCGCTCTCAGAAAACCCAAAAAAAAGAAACGAAAAAGCTTCTAACTTCGATTCAAAACAATTCCGACTGTTTCTTAACTTGGAAAAAGAGAAAAGAAAATCGAAAAGAAAGAAAGAAAGAAAGAAAACGACATGTCGTCGTCGGAGGACGAGTCGGGGGAGGAGTACCTGTTCAAGATCGTGATAATCGGGGACTCGGCGGTTGGGAAATCGAACCTCCTCTCTCGGTATGCGCGGAACGAGTTCAACATGCACTCCAAGGCCACCATTGGAGTCGAGTTCCAGACTCAGAGCATGGAAATCGACGGCAAAGAGGTCAAGGCCCAGATTTGGGACACCGCCGGCCAAGAACGCTTCCGCGCCGTCACCTCTGCCTACTACCGTGGCGCTGTCGGTGCTCTGGTCGTCTACGACATCACTCGCCGCACCACCTTCGACAGCATCGGCCGTTGGCTCGACGAGCTCAAAAGTATGATCATTCAATTCTGAGCTTTTCAAGATATTTATACGCACATTTATACATGTATATATATATTCTTTGCTTTATGTTTCGGTTCAAGTGAAAGTAGTGTTTGGTTTGTTCGTTAGGTTGATCTTTTTGGTTCTGTTTTTGTAATTTTGTTTTTGTTTGACTAGTTTTTGTTGGATTTTGCCGTTTTAGGTTTGTCGTAATGGTTAGGACTTTTAGATCTGAGGTTATGATGATGCTTCTGAGTTAAGTCTTCATCTAGAAGACTAGAACAAAGCAGCTATTTGACTCTCGTTTTCTTTTCTTTTTTCTTTCCCCGGATAATTAGGTTTACAGTAATTGTCAAAGTTAATGGCCTTAAACTGGAAGATAAAGAACCGCTCCACGCTTACTGGCCCATCCATTAGTCACATTTTTTTGTTATTGTTTTTCATTTTGATTGGGATAGAGGGTGGCATACCGACCTACCCGCAGAAGACCTACCCCCAGAAGGGGTGCATCCATTCCCCGCATGGTATATGAATCCCTCATAAGTGGATTGCCCATGTGTCCGGCCCACCGCAATGGGACGGACTCAAACTGAAAGTTTTCTTGAGGAGAACGAGTAGCCTTACCACCCTACCAAATAACTGGTGATATGTTATTACTTTTTTTTAATCGTTTTTCAAATGGGATAGACAGTGGTGATCCCCGGGAGGGGCGGGGTGCGTCCATTCCTAGCTTGGTATGTCAATCCGTTATAATTGGATAATGCATATACCCCGCCCACAACAGTGGAACTGACTAAAATCCAATATTTTATTGAGGAGAATGAGTAGCCTTACCACCCCACCAAATGACTGGTGGTGTTTTATTTGTGTCCTGTGAATAGTGCAAGTGCATTAGAACAAAGGTGGTCTTTTATCACATTAACTGAATTCCATTTATTTGGGTGTTCTTTTTTGCGATCTTCGATTTTATGTGGTTTGGTATGATGCATTCACTCTTCTCAGTAGGTGTTAGTTAGGACAATTTGCGCGAGCAATATCTAAGATGTATGATTGGATGTGCTAGGCCAAAGATCAAAAAAGGAAGCTTCAAGTTTGCAAAACTCTACGAAAGTTGTTTCACTTGCACTTCCTTTTTCAGTTGACCAATTTATAATTATCTGTTGGTATGGTAACATAGTTAGAATTGTCTTGTTTGCATATAGTGACAATTTGAGATATTTGTTTCTACACGAGGTTTAAGCTTTGATGCCTGATATGAAGTGTTAAAGAGCAGTTAAATATAGAACTAAAGACTGAAAAAGATTCCCTTTTCCATATAAGTAGAGGAGGGGCTTTTGTCAAAAATGGAAAGAGAGAAAGGTGCAGGTATTTCTTTTGGTTTGGTGGCTTCAAGGGATTCCAATATTTTCTGAACTTTCCTAACCTTTGCCGCTTATGCCTCTTCCTTAGAATAGCCAATTTCTTTTTCCTTCCCGTTATCCCTCTACCCTTTGGACGCTCTCATGTTTCCTTTCTATAGACAAAGCATAATTCTCAGATCCTTTTCTTAATAAGGGAAGTGGTTATAATTTGAGGAATGTAGCAAACCTGCCGCGTCCCCCACACCTCCCCCACCAAAAAAAAAGAAAAAAAAAAATCTCTCAGATGGATGAATTGGAGGAGGAACCAAAATGGAGAATTTGTAAAACGGTAATTTTCCTATAGACCTTTATGTTTCGTTTCCTTGTTTTTGTTGATATTTTCTCTCATTCACGTGTTATCCTTAGAGACAAGGAGAAAAAGCACTCAAATCCCATCCCATCCCACCAAGTATAGCTAAGGTCAGGAAAGCTTGTTATATTAATAGGAACCTTGTATTGAAGTCAAATATAGAAGCTTGCCTAAAATTTTTGGACTAGCTATTTGTGTTACTTTTATGTTAGATCGATAGTGCTCCAATTTGGTGAAAAGAACAGAGAAAATGTGCGCGAACTTTTGTCATTTCTCATTTAAATTCGATGGTGCTTTTGTTTGTTAGCAGGCTGCGAAAGATGTTTTCGTTTTGTTTTTCATGATCATACTAATTTGCTTGTTCACCATAGAAGTGCTTCATATCGTGCTTATTGACTAATCCTCAAAAAAGTCATTTGGTTCTTTGACTGGAACTGGATGATTGAATCCCACAAAAGTGTTGTCATGGAATTCAATTGAAAGAAAATTATTTTTAGGTGAGTATTGAAGTAATTCCTGGAGAGGTGTTGTCAGGTATAGAGATCATTCTTTATGTAAGAATTGCAAAGTAATTCCTGGAGAAGTACTAGCCACCCAACATAGGTTAGTGATCTTAGATGTGAGCATTAAGCTTTGTTATAAAAGGTTTAAGATAAACCACCTCCCACGAACTCGTTGGTGGCATTTGAAGGGAATAAAACAATTGGCCTTTAAAGAGAAGTTGTTAGATGAGGCTACTTGGTCATATGTAGGTGATGTAAATACTATGTGGGATGCCATGGCCAGCTGCATCAGAAAAGTGGCAAAGGAGGTACTAGGGGAATCTAGAGGTAAAGGCCCCCCTGGGAAAGAAACCTGGTGGTGGAGTGAGAAAGTTCAAAAGGCTATTAGGACCAAGAGAGATTTATATAAAGATTTACCAAAGCGTAAAGATGTTGAAACTTTTAATAAGTACAAAGAAGCGAAGAAAAAAGCTAAGTGAGCAGTTGGTAAGGCTAGTTCTACTTACTTAGATGAGGTATATAGGAAACTTGGGACTAGAGAATGAGAGAAGGATATATATAAATTATTCAAGATAAGAGAAACGAAGCGTCATGACCTAAATCAAGTGAGGTGTGTTAAGGATGATACGGATCAAGTTCTGACAAGAGATAAAGACATTAGGGAAAGGTGTAAGAGTTATTTTGAGAAACTTTATAATGATGATCATGCGATAGAGTTTGGCAATCTTAGGTTACAAGGAGAACCTAATGTGATGTATACAAGAGGAATCAGAGTCTCGGAAGTTAAAACTGCACTACGGAAGATGAAAAAGGGGAAGGCATGTGGGCCAGATGATATTCCAATAGAGGTTTGGATGGTGTTAGGAGATGTTGGAATTGTGTGGCTCACTAAGCTTTTTTAATGAGATACTAAAGAAGAAGCATATGCCTGATGCATGGAGGAAAAATATTATTGTCCCCATCTTCAAGAATAAAGGAGATGTGATGAATTGTAACAATTATATGGGCATAAAGTTAATAAGCCACATTATGAAATTTTGGGAGAGAGTTACCGAAAGGAGATTAAGGGTCACAACTACCATCTCAGGTAACCAATTTGGCTTCATGCCAGGCAGATCAACCACGGAAGCTATTTTTCTTCTTAAGATGTTGATAGAAAGGTACAGAGAAGTCAAGACGGACCTACATATGGTCTTTATAGATTTAGAAAATGCATATGATAGGGTGTGGGTGCTAGAAAAGAGAGGAGTGCATGAGAGGTATATTAAGGTAATTAAGAACATGTACGATGGGGTGGTCACGGGTGTGAGGACTGTTGGATGCTACACGGCAGAGATCCCCATTCGGATCGGCCTTCATCAAGGATTTTCTCTTTGTCCTTATCTTTTCACCATCGTGATGGATGAGCTGACAAGAGAAATCCAAGATAGAGTTCCTGGGTGTATGCTTTTTGCGGATGATATAGTTTTAGTTGATGAATATAGAGAATGAGTTAACTGTAAGTTAGAACTGTGGAGACAGACTCTCGAGACGAAGGGATTTAAGTTAAGTAGGACTAAAACTGAATACATGCATTGTAGGTTTAGTAGTAACTCAAGTATGGAATTTCTTTGGATGGTGTGGAGATTGGGGCTTTTAGGAAGTTTAGGTACCTTGGGTCTATAGTGTAGTACGAAGGAGATATAAAACAGGATATTCAACATAGGATTAAGGCAGGGTGGGTTAAGTGGAAGAATGCTAGGGGAGTTTTATGTGACGGTAAGATGTCTATTAAGTTGAAAGGAAAGTTCTATAGGACTGTAATCTGCTCAGCTATGTTATATGGTAGTGAATGTTGGGCCATTAAGAGACAACATATATCTAAGATGAGTGTGGTAGAAATGCGCATGTTAAGATGGATGAGTGGCCATATGAGAATGGATCGCATAAGGAATGAAGTTATTCGTAGTAAAGTAGATGTAGTACCAATAGAAGATAAGGTGCGTGATAGCCGCTTGAGGTGGTTCGGGCATGTCCAACGTAGACCGCTAGAAGCACCAGTCCGTGTTTGGGAGGACATTCTTATACCTAATACTAGGAGAAGGAGGAGTAGACTAAGAATTACGTGGACCGAAGTCGTTAGGAAAGACATTCTAGATCTAGGTCTTTAGGAAAGTATTCGAATAGAGCCGTGTGGAAAAGTGAAATCCATATAGCCGATCCCAATTAAGTTGGGATTAAGGCTTGTTGTTGTTGTTGTTGTTGTATTGAAGTAATTGAGCTTTCACTCCTAGTTGAAGAAGATTGAATAGTTGTCTCTAGCAGAGATGCTTTTCTTGAAGGAGGAGGAATAGTGGTTGCATTTTTATCTGGGCTTTCTTCTCACTTATCTTGGTTTTGCTGCTTTATGTTTTTGATTTTCGAGTTCAACTATAAGATATTTGTGCTGTAAACTGAACTAAACTAATTATATTTGTTACTCCGTCTGAACAAATACATGTGACGAAACGTAAGCCAATCTTCATTATATAAGGTTTTCTTTTTGCTTTTTCTCTTTAACAATTAAAGCCTCAGAATAAGTTGGTTATTTGAAGATTAATCATTTCAAACTATTATAGTTTAGAATCTGAATTATTGATTGGCAATTACACATCATGTAATCTTAATTATTGAGCTTGGCAGTTATGCGTACACGTGATCTTAATGCTTGAGCCTTTCATTGAAATAATCATGCAGCTCATTCTGATACAACTGTGGCAATGATGCTTGTCGGGAACAAATATGATTTGGAGAATATCAGGGATGTGAGTGTTGAGGAAGGGAAAAGCCTTGCAGAAGCTGAAGGTTTGTTCTTCATGGAGACTTCCGCACTCGACTCCACCAATGTTAAAAAAGCTTTTGAGATTGTTATTCGGGAAATTTACAACAATGTCAGCCGCAAGGTCCTAAACTCGGACACTTACAAAGCAGAGTTATCTGTAAACCGGGTAAGTCTTGTCAACAATGGCGCGGATGGGTCGAAGAAAAACCAAAATTATTCATGCTGTTCCAGGTGACTTGGTCGGATCATATCCCCAGAAAAAAGAGCACAAGTGGAGGCTTTGTATGGTTGGTTTGTGAATTCTATTTGGTTGATTTATTGGTTTGTCATTGGCAATGTTTTTTCTTTTTCAAGGATAACAGAATAAGACAGTATTTATAGAAAGAAATTTTGTGTTTTATTTATGTACAACATCACAATTTTTTACTCCGGATACTGTAGTATAGCTGTGCAAGATAAAGCAGCCAATCTTTCTTTGTGGAATTGTTTTTTTCTGGTATGCCTAATGATTCCAAAGTTAAATTATCCTTTTTCTGCTTCTTTCAGTGTGCACCAATGTTTTGTTGAATTTTGTGGAAGTTTTCTGATTTTTTTATATTATATTATATTTTTTTAATTTCTGGAAGTGAAGTTAGAATGTTAGATTCAATTTTAGAAGAAGCATACTTTTATCAAAGGACATAAGATTAGGATTTGATATGGTTCAATCTCGTTTTAGTGTGAAATCCTACAAATGGAACCAACTGAACTGTGCATGCTTACGGTGGTTAGTTCTATCCATCATAGAGGTGATTGTGAAACGGTGTTCATGACACCTTAATTCTAAATTCTAATTACCGATCCTTCAAGAAAAAAAAATCTATCTAATTACGGAGAGCAATAAAAATCACAATAAAATAAATCAAATAAAATTGACACAGAAATTTATAGAAATTCGTCGTAATATGAGACTACATTTTATTTCAGCCTCTGAAGTTTTTCACTATACTCATAAGAAGGTGATCCGTGAAATTCTGTGTAAGATAATAAATCATTAGGACAATTAATTAGACTCCACAAGTTAACAAGAGAGAGTGCTAGTGCCATCAAAAGTTTTCCCTACCAAGCTTTGCTCTTCTAGCTCTAGATCCTGTTCATGGAGCGATCCCACTCTGATTTTTATTCCTCAATTTGTTTTTGGCTGATTTGCATATCCAACCAAATGGCCTTGTAGACAAAAAATATTACTTCAAATAAATCCATTGACATCATTTTAAGGGCGTCATCAATGCTATGTAGTTTTAAAATTTGAGGACATGTCGATGTAAGTGACATAATTCAAGGGGAAATTCATAAACTTTATCATTAGATTTTTATACAATGTCAAAATCTAACATTTGAATAGGAAAATAAATCTAACAAAATATTATGGCATGTTTTATAGGCAAAATAATTAGTATTAAATTTAGTACCAAGTATAACACATATCAATTCAATACCAAGTACAAAGGTAAGTTAAATTTTAGCATTACTTTTGATTTAATGATTATAACATTGTTATTTTTTTAATTATGTACAAACTAAAAATTGTTCTTTTATAAGCTTGAGAGCTTAAAATGTATGACAAACATAAATATAGCATTTGTGAATGAAGAATAAAATAAAATGAATTTTCAAATATGCTATTCAAATAAAATAGAATGACTTTTATTGAATATGCTATTTTTATACCTTTTGTTTGTCACATATAACATTGACATTAACATCTGTAATGGAGACGGTCTAATAGAAAAAATCTTATTCTTCAAATTAATACTAGTAAAAAAAAATAGATATCTCTCTTTTGTTATCCCATACGTTCCTTCAAAATAACACTTTATCCTTCTTATCATATTCCCTAATGTCTAAAGTATTCCCTCTTATAATGCAAATGTTGATCCAACCTTTTAATTTTAGCATTAACGATCCTGAATTTGACCATTTATAGCAGTGCAATCCAAGTAATAATGTATATCATTTTTTGTTGTTGTTGAGGAAATAACATATGTCAGTTAACGGACAACAGTTTGGGTCCAAAGAGTCAAAATTTTAAAGGATTCAACTTGCCAACCAACAAGTGCATTTATGTAAATTTTTGGTGTATTTCTGATAAGTGCTTAATTTCACATATGCTTCCTTGCTTTGTTCTTGAGTATCTTATTTTATAATTAGTGTTTTTATGTTTTGAAGGTCAAAGAATGATTTGGAGCTTAAAATAGCACAAAACGGACAAAAAATCACAATGTTGACCAGAAAGGGTTGCGAGCCCGGGCTGAAGAGTGGCGAGCCCGTGCCAGTCCATCTGAGGGCGCGCAGCCCTGGTCACGCCCCCGTACAACTCCGTGCAGTGCTGATATGATTTTGACGCATTTTGCGATTTGTTGGCCAAGTTTCTTCCCTATTTGACTCTGAATTTGACCTAGATTAACCCCAACTTAAAAATCTATAAATAGGAGACTTTAGGATTGATTTAGAGAGCTTTTATCATTATTTGTTAGCTGTCGTGGAGATGAGGAAGAAGAAGAAAAGGAAGAGATTCTTAAAGACCAATCTAGTTTCTTCTTTCCTTCTCTCTTTTTATTAGTTTTATTTTTATTTTTTAATTATGTTAGGTTAGATGTTATTTTGGTTAAGGGTGAATTCAAAACCGTAGACATGGATTTGTGAGGGATGTTTAGATATTATTTTCTAATTTTCTATTAAGATTGTTTATGTTCTTACAGTTTAATTGTTCATTTTCTCTTCCAATTTAATTGTTCATGAATATTTTCTTGTTTTATTTGGGTGCGCAACCATTTAGGACTTGAGAATACTCTATTGCTAGGTTAGGAATCTTGATCCATAATTATCTTACATTTCTAATCGTTAGTAGCAAATTGTGATCATTGATGATGGTCAAGTTTTTATATGATTGCATGTGGAACAAAACATAGGTTGAATAATCCGAGCTTGTGTGATTGTTACTTAGATCAACATATGTTTCTCATCGTAATGCCACTTTTGAATTGAATTTAGAGAGCTTGTTCTTGGTTGTTTGAGGGAAAGGGATTAAGTGAAGAGCTTGTTTTGCTTAACGACTAACTAAGAAAAGATTAGGGTAGCAGAGCTTGTTGCTTTATACGGTTATTAGTTTTCATAGGAAATTAGAGATAATATTGCATATTCATTATGATTCCATTGTCTAGTGGTAGAGATTGATACTTTGACATTTGTTTTATTATTGTTGATTTCTTAATTAATTTCAAGTTTTGTTTTGTTTTATTTTATTTAGTTTAGACTCGAAAAAGAATATTGGGAATGAATAATTTTATTCATTGAGTAGACCTTAATACAATTACAGCCTAAGTAAAAAAGGAATCAATATCACTAATTCTAGGAAGTAAATAACTACTAACAATACTTTCCTAAATATACAGATTTGACACCTAACTAATGATATAGTTACAGCTATACACGGATTCTTTCCTAAAAACAGTTTGTTTTTTCTACACTCACCCTCAAGCTGGTTTGAAAATATCTTTCATTACCAGCTTGCTTACTAAAAAATTGAATTGTTTTTTAGATAGTCCCTTTGTGAGCAAATCACCTACTTGATCTCCAGGCGGAACATAGATCATGCATACGAAACCGCATTCTATCTTCTCTTTGATAAAGTGCTTGTCCACTTCAACGTGCTTCGTGCGATCGTGGAGAACTGGATTATGAGTAATAGAAATAGCAGCCTTATTGTCACAATACAACTTCATAGGTAGATCTTCTGAAGCTCTCAACTGTTGTAAGATTCTCTTGATCCACATTACTTCACAAATACCAAGGGCAACCGCCCTGAACTCAGCCTTTGCACTACTCCTTGCAACCACATTCTGCTTCTTACTACGCTAGGTTACTAAGTTACCACCAACATAAGTACAGTACCCAGAAGTGGATCTTTGATCAGCTATACTCCCAGCCCAATCCGCATCGGTGTAGGCCTCAATCTGAAGGTGTCCTCGGGATTTAAAGGAAAGCCCTTTACCTAGTGTCCGCTTTAAATACCTTGAAAACCTGTAAACGGCTTTAAAATGTTCAGGACTAGGTGAGTGCATAAACTGGCTAACTTCACTTACAGAGAAAGCTATGTTAGGACGCGTATGTGACAGATAAATAAGTCTGCCAACAAGTCTTTGATATCGTTCCTTATCTTTTACATCTTCAGCGTTGGCTAGTTGTAGTTTCACATTCAGTTCCATAGGAGTTTCTGCCGGTTTACAGCCCAACATACTTGTTTCTTCAAGTAAATCAAGTACATACTTACGTTGATTTACAATAATGCATTCCTTAGACCTTGCAAACTCCATTCCAAGGAAGTATTTTAACACTCCCAGGTCTTTGATTTCAAACTCTTCGGCTAATCTCCTTTTCTGTCTATGTATTTCACTACAATCATCTCCTGTCAAGATAATATCATCAACATACACAATTAAGATGGCAACTTTACCTTCTCTTGAATGCTTGTAAAACATGGTGTGGTCCGCTTGGCTCTGTATAAATCCCTACCTCCTCACTGCCTTGCCAAAACGATCAAAGCATGCTCTAGGTGACTGATTGAGTCCATACAGGGATTTCTTTAGTCTGCAGACTTTTCCAACGCCAAGTTCTTCCTCAAAGCCCGGTGGTAGGCTCATAAATACTTCTTCTTCTAGGTCACCATTGAGAAAAGCATTTTTTATATCAAGTTGAAACAAATGCCAGTTAGAATTCACAACAAGAGTCAACAAGACACGTATTGTATTTATCTTCGCAACATGGGAAAAAGTTTCTTGGTAATCTATTCCGTAGGTTTGAGTAAAGCCTTTTTCTACTAGCCTGGCTGTATACCTCTCTATACTACCATCAGCTTTACTTTTAACTGTGAACACCCATTTGCACCCCACAACCTTCTTCTCACTAGGCAACTCAACCACCTCCCACATACCATTCTTCCTCAATGCCTCCATCTCTTCAAGCACGGCTGACTTCCAATTCAGTTCATCTAATGCCTCCTTAATATTTCTAGGCACCACAAGCTTTGAAATCTTTCTAGTAAAAGCTCTATACTTGGAAGAAAGTTTGTCATAGGAGATGTATTTGGCAATAGGATGTCTAGTGCAGGTTTGGGTTCCTTTTTTAAAGGCAATAGGGAGATTAAGTTATGTTTCTTGGGTAGGAATAACAGGTACAGGACTCGGATTGGATTTAGGAGAAATTATTTCATTAGAATTTGGAATATAAGATAAGGAAGGTGAGTTACCTGATGCGTTTGGACGGACTTCACTCGGGAATTCCTCATGGTCGTGTGCTGAGCGAAACACATAATCTTTATCTCTTTCAAGGATATTTTTCCTTAAAAATAAACCACAGGCTCAAGATTAGATCGATTTTTTTTTCATTTGTAATATTTTCATATCAGACAGACCAATGTCAACTTCAATGTTTCCAGATTGAGTGATCCTAGTTTCCTTATCTATTTCAGTAGATTCAAAAAATATTTGTGGTAAAGGTTA